AATGCGAAGAGAGACGGCAGGTATCGAGAGAAATGGAACTAACTGAGGGCAGGAGGTGATGAGGGAACAGGAGGAGGGATCTCACGCGGTGAAACGGAGACGTGGCCCCCGCTAGCAAAGATGAAGGGCTACTTTAATTGGGTTTCTGATGCCGGCTTAATCCTATTCTCCATATTAATCCCTTACATTGTACATAATCAAAACAAATACTCCCATGGGGGCGAAGCTGTTAAGAGGATACAGTAATACAGATAGTGCATGTGGGACACCTGTACACAACCTTTGGGGACAAACTAAGGACATGTCCCAGTCATCGCTCTCCCTCTGCAGAGGTGGGCACCGAGGGGACTTTGCAATCACACGAGAGAATCTAAATCAGCATTCTGCTCCCGGAATATATTGTGCTGCTGCAATGTAATTGTGGAACTATTCCTGAGCACGGCTTCATATGCAACAAAGCAACAAGTGGGAACAAGTCACCTTGCACAAAAATAAAATTACATCTGGGTCTACCTTTTTTTCAGTGCTGTTTTTGCCTACTACCGAAAAACATCTATTCCCAATGCTCCCAGTGCTTCAATTCGTCATGCAGCCATTTAACCGCCTCTAGAGATTTTAGTGTCTATACTTAACAATGCATATCATTCATTTCACAGTTTATTTTGTTCACTCTCCTGGTGGATTTAATTTAGAGTACTTTCTGTAGACTGTAAGCTTTATTCTTTGCCTGTTTTTGAGTAAAGTAACAACATACTTAGACTCACACGTAGATTTTAGTTGCATCTGCTTGAAGGGGCCCCAATTAAGAAGAATTGGGCCTCATTGCAACAGTATTTTTCTTGAATCTTTTCCTGAGAAAGTGTACCTCAGATACATTAGGTGTTCCTCAACCACACAGTGGTCTTATGAATCAGAATCAGAATACTTTTATTTGAAATGTACATTTGTTACAGCAAGAAAAGAGCCAAAGATAGCTTAGCATTAATTAAGAAGCATGCATAAACTTATGAAAGGTAAAAGTAGACAATTGAGTGTGAATCCCATTGTCCAATAACAATTGCCCCCAGTTAATTGTATCAGCAAGTAAATGCACTTGTGGTTTTATAAGGGTGAATCCCATTGTCCTTATTAATTAAATGTGTCTATAAGTTGATCCTATTAGCAAGCAAATGCCCCAATACGAATAAAAAGGCATGAGATTTCAGGGTCGTGTGCACAAACAGAAATTGAAAATAATTTTGAGAGAATTGTGAAAAATGTCCAAACTAAAGTCTAAACAGGGTAAAGTCTAAATGTATGTTGTGAAGTAAGTGGACACTAAACAAGCTTCATATTTAGCAGCATCAGTAGGACAATCAATCAATAAATAAATAAATAAATAAATAAATAAATCAATCAATCAATCAATCAATCAATCAATGTATGTTTATTCATATAGCCCAATATCACAAATGTTACATTTGTCTCAGTGGACTTCACAGTTTGTACAGAATATCAGTATGACAATACGACACCCTCTGTCCTTAGACCCTCTGTCCTTAGACCCTCACATCGTACAAGGAAATACTTCCAGAGAAAACCCCACAGTTTAAAGGGGAACATGGGAGAAACCTCAGGGAAGAGCAACAGAGGAGGGATCCCTCTCCCAGGACGGACAGAAGTGCAACAGATGCCGTGTGTAAATTGAAGAGATAATACATTTACAACATAGGTAGACCAAATGTTTGGAAATGCATGTGTGTATAATAATAAGATGAATCCACGAGGATATCCATCCAGGACTTATGATCCAGGACCACAGCAACAGGCACAGCCACGACTGAAGATCCAGGGCTCACGATCCAGGACTCAGGACCACAGCAACAGGATCAGCCACGACTCAGGATCCCGGCGTAGATAGACACCAAAAAGAAATGTGGGGAAGCTGGGTTATTCTGAACATGAGAGTACACAGGTACAGACAGAGAGAAGGAAGAAGTAAGGTGTCCCCCGACAAACTAAGCCTATAGCAACAAAACTAGGGGCTGAATCTAATCAGCCCTAACTATAAGCTTTATCAAAAAGGAAGGTCTTAAGCGCACTCTTAAGACCTAAATAGCTTCATCAACCACTCATTATTGGATGGCATGGTTCCCAGTTTACATAATTGATGAAAATTGAAGTGTCATTGTATTGTTTATTTATTCAAAAGACCATAATGCTCTGTAAAGTAATCCAAATTATTCTGAAAAAAAATATCAATGATATGTTTTCAATTGACATCCTATAAAACACAACTGTAAAATTGAAGCTAATTAAATAACCCATTATTTTTGCTCGAACACATCAGCGAGTATGCATTAGTGTGTTCTTGAGTGTGTGTGGTTTTGTTTCTAAGAGCAAATCCATAAAGTAAGAACACATTGGTAAATGTCAGAATCATTGTTCAAACAGCATAAGTGGCTTTTAATAAAAACACTTATTCTTAAGAAGTGTTAGTGAAGGATCTATTTTCTTGAAAATAAATATGAGTCGATGTCTTCACAGTGCTCTTATCCTCAAGCATACTCAGTGCATGGTCGGGGTCCAATGAACCACAGAAAGGAGGCCTCTTGCTTCTGGGACTAATTATGAGTAAGGATGTCTATGGATTTTATAATTCACAAAGACACTCCTCATTGCTTTCATTGATTTCTCATTTCAAGAGTAAAATAAACAGTTTTTGAGAAAAGGCAGAGTTAATGTAGATTGTGGTATAAGGCACCAAACAGCATGACACAATAACATCAATATTTCAATTTGATCACCAAATATACGTTTTTTTTTGTATTGATAAAGTTCAATTTATTCATACTTTATTTTGAGATTTGTATTTAGGTTTTCCTGTAAGAAACATTCTAGTAGCATTATCACAATAAGAGTTGATTTCTCGTCTTTTTCAAGTAATGTTTATATCCTTGTTGTTTTGCTTACTGCCATGTGCATTATTATGTTCTCTAAGCGCTTTAGTTTGATGTATCGCACTTAAAGTGACACTATATTCAGCTTAACAAATACTGTAATCATCCCTTTCACAACATTACAGCAAACTAAAATATCTGAGCTCTTTTTTAAATCAACGTGACATCAAATCACAAGGTAGATGTAATAATGTAAAGTGACGCCAAATATGATAAAAAGTAGGAAGAGAACTATCTAGCATTAGATTATGGGTAATAACTGGTGTTAGTGGATACAATTTGACTTCTTGATCATAGAAAATAGCCTTTTTAGCCTGGCACATTCAGCCACTTTAACATGATTTGCAAGGCACATGCAATGAACTCGACTTGCCCCCATAATCACCCCATTTTGCAACATGGATACAGAGAGGAATAACTTTGGAAGCTTACTTGTACATGCCCAGCTCCAACAGGTACCTGAGGGAGAGTGTGGAAGGAGCCATGCAAGTTTGATTTTTCTGGTTTCTGCAGCAGAACAAAGCCCACGGTGTTGGTTTTCATCTTTTCTCTATGTGGAGCAAGTGGAGCATGCGGAGAAGGTAGTGATAGGGAAGGTAGGTAAACACTTTGTGCCCAACTGGATCAGATTTGTTGGGAAACCGCAGCAGCATCACACGGGTCACCCAGTAGGCTGTGAAATGACTTGTTGATCCTCAGCGTGTTAGTGTGTGTGTGTGTGTGTGTGTGTGTGTGTGTGTGTGTGTGTGTGTGTGTGTGTGTGTGTGTGTGTGTGGAAGGAAGATAGAGGCAGTGGTATACCTTTATCTGCAGGTCAGAGAAACCTTTTCAAGTCAGACCCCATTCTGAAATGGCCCTGCAGCTTCGCCGTGGAGAGTGATGAAGTAGAAGCACAGCAGGGGAAGGAAAACATAAAGAGAAAGACGATTTGAAGGATCAGTGGAGTCTGAAAAACAAGGAATTATCAGAAAAAGAGAATGCGAGGGCCCCCAGGAGCCACACACCACTGCCCAGATCTCTGCTGGACATGAAGATTTACTCAATGTTCTGCTCTGACGATGACAAATTAGATCAGAGGAAAGAGAAGTGAGTGTAGAATGAATGAAGAGAGGACTGAGTGCTGTCCCTTGCATGAAGGCAAATTAGCATGCACAGTATATCTCATTTATAGCATTGGCGCTGTCCAATGTGCTGAAAAGATGTGGTTACACAACGGATAATGTTCTACTTGGACGGCAAGAAGGAAGAGGGGATAAATCTCAGAGGAAAATTGAGATTTCAGCAAGCTATTAGCTTTGTGTTGGCCAACCTGGCAGGGACAGTGTGATCTGCAAAGGTGCTTAAAGTGTTCTATTACCTCACAGAACAAATGACCAGCAGTTTGAACATCATCCAATTATCTCTTCTTTTTCTGGAAAATAATATTTTTGAAATTGATTAGTTAACTTATTATGCTCTAAATGTGTGTGTTATAGAAAACCTGTTATTGGGTATAGTGTAAGGGAGGAGTAAAATGATATAGAGATATGGCTAAGAGATACTCTCCACTGAAATGCAAAAAAACTAAAGTCAACGGTGATGTGTGACCAAAGGGAGCAAACTCATTTCGATATTGGATTGTCTATCTCACAAAAAATGATTCATCAAATGAATACGGGGAATCTGTGATTGGTTGTAGTTTAATTTCTGAATGAACACATTACAGGCAAATTCTCCCCGGGACCTGAGTAAAGCGGAAGGAAATGTTACCCGACGAATTTTCATTAAAATTCAACAAGAGGCGTGCTCCGTGAGAGGTTAGATTATTGGCCGGCAGGCGCAGGAACACGCACGCACGCACGCGCACGCGCGCGCGCACACACACACGACACCAACACACACACACGCACACACACAACACCAACACACACACACACAACACACACACACACACACACACACACACACACACACACACACACACACACACACACACACACACACACCCACCCTCTCACAGCTGGTGTGCCTTCCTCCGGCAGAGACTGACAGAAGCGGGGCGACCGCTCTAAGCTGTGCGCGCTCATTTCTCCTCTCTCCACCAGCGCGCCTTTTACTGTTGACATAAAAAACTTTGAAGAGGTGAGAGCCGAAACGTCAAAACGCCGACAAATCACCGTCGACAGCGCGCATCAAGAAATAAAAAAGGGGGCAAAGAAAAATACCCAGCAAGTCCGAGGAAAGCGGTGGAGCCGGGAGAAAGAGGGAGCTATGCCATCTCCCGCCGAGCAGAGCCCAGTCCTCCTGTGTTGTGTGTCGGAGCTGCAGCATGGTGTCTCTCTCTGGACTCTGGACCTACTGCCTCGCCCCCGGGAGACTTCCTCTCCTTTTCCTCTCCGCCAGACCGCTCCTGCTGCTTCTTTTATTCACGGTCTCATCCTCCCCGGAGTCCTGCTTCCCGCACTCGCAGACGTGTCACATCCTCGCCCGGATCGGACACACCGTGCGCCTCGGTGCGCTCTTGCCGACCCGGCAGCCGGCACGGATACAAAACGCGCTCAACCGCGCCCTGGCTAGCCTCCGGCACCAGGGTGGAGGGGCAGACTCCTCCACGACACCCTCCCAGACACCCCCTCTGCTGCCCTACAACCTGAGCCTGGAGGTGGTGGCTCGCACGCCCGCGGGAGGCGACCCGGAGTCGCTGTCCCGCAGCGCCTGCCAGGACTTGGTGGTCAGGGGGGTGTCCGCGGTGCTCGCCTTCCCCCGCTCCAGAGAGGAGCTGATCCAGGTGGAGTTCCTCTCCTCTTTCCTGGAGATCCCTTTCATATCCATCCTGGAGGACACAGAGCCGCTTGTGACTAAGGTATGGATGGATGGTGTGTGTTTCTGCTGGCTGTGCTGCACCTGTAGCAGTCATTTTTTAATGGAACAGAAAACATAATAACAGAAGGTTATTTGGGTTTTTATCATTGTTTTCTTGCGTTCTGCTCTCTAATAAGCACCAACCTCTGGCCAAACATATTTTCCTTTGGACTTTTATCAGAGGAACCTTTGCCTGACTCACTGCCTTGTGGCGAGGATTTTGGTGGCTGAGCTGGTCTCACTAGCTCGATTTTAAGTCAGGCTGAAGGCAAGGGAATAGTGTAAAGAAAGATAATTGGGACAGGGATAATACGATCCATTATTTTTGAGATTCATTTTAATAATACAATTAGCAATAATACAAATACAATAAGGACGAATGGACTAGTAGAATAAAGGACCATTTAGTGTCTCAGACTAAGTGGAGCCGCTAAATGTCTTCTCCCAGTAAAGTCTGATGATCTCAGCTGAGCTCCCTGCTGGTGGACCTGCAGGCCCTTCACATGCATCTTTAATATCTGATAGCTCTGCTTTAGTATTGGACTGAACCCTCCAGCCCTCCAGCAGCAGAGGTTTAAACTGAAATGCTTTTTTTTAAGCTCTCATCTTGTGTATATGTGACTCCATATGAGCAAGAGTGTGTATTTGTGCATGTGCCTGCATGTGAGTGTGTGCATGTTTGATTGAAGACGGCTGTGTTGTGGCACTTCTCTGAGTGAATCATTCAAACAGCAGAGAGACTGATAGATGGGTGCTGGGGAGAGGTGAGGGGCCCGCTTCTGCCGCTGGTGCTATTTGTGCATGGTCATGTATTTTTTTGGCTTGTTGCTCGATGTGAGAACATTTGTAAGTAAGCAATAAGAGTGTGTTTGTGTGTGAGTCATGTTAGTATTTCCAGCGGCAGTCGAGCTGCTTGCCAGTCAGTCAATCCAACTCCAGTCATCCGCCTCTATCCAACTGAGCAGCCAACTGCATCCCCCTGACACACACACACTCAAACACACACACATATTTACAAAGTGCCAACCACCAACACACACATAAGGACAAATAAAGAGGACTTCAACTTTACTTCCACACAGGTGTAGCTAAAACTGAACACACACTCGGGGACACACCTGCCAGAGACATTGATTTCTTCGCCACCTTTTTTCTCACACAAACACACACACACACACACACACACACACACACACACACACACACACACACACACACACACACACACACACACACACACACACACACACACACACACACACACACACACACACACACACACACACACACACACTTTCACCAACACATAGGCAGCGAGGAGAGAGAAGGAGAGAGGAACGATCCATAGTTTAAGTCTGAAATCTCGGTCCTGTCGCGTCTCTTTGTCAACAATATATTGCTTATTCGATTTCAATAAAGCTTGCATGAATGAGAAGTCACACCACTTGACGAATGTGTCGGCAAAGCAAGGAGATAAGCAACAGAGAGCAGAAGGAAAGGGAGATGAGGGGAGAACGAGAGGAAGGGGTGGGCAGGGAAGGAAGAGAGGGCTTCTTCTCTTTCTTTTTTTTCCTTTTCTTTTTATTGTGGGAGGCCTTTCAGTTCTTCAAAACTGTGCCAGGCAGTCAGTGGGCAAAAGAGAAACAACCATCACTCTCTTCCTCTGTGTCTCTCTGTTTCAGTAATCATTTCAAGCAGATGTTGTGTTTTTGAATGTTTGTTGTTTATGCTACAGAAATGTTCTTCAGCCTAATATTAAATTCATGATGTTTTTTTTCTGTGTCAGGCTAGTCCTCCGTGCTTCATAGAAGGAGACGTGTTCAGGTGTGAGGCAGCAGCAACATCTGTTTGTTTCTAAGCCGTAGAGGGAAAGCAGGGCAGCTGCGATGAGGAGTAGCAGACGAATAAACAGAAACTCAGGGTTAAAACATGTTACATACTCAGTATAATGTGTAAGAAAAAAGTGCAGGAAGGTCAGCCTTTCAGAGCCTTAATAATAAAAGGAGTAATAAACTTAAATTTCCACTTTCATGAACTACAACTCAGGATTCCTTTCTGTTCTTGTACGTGGTTGGGTAAACCGTTTAGTGCTGAAACTGTTAAATTAATGTATCAAGTCTAATCGTCCTATATTAAGCAAAACATTTTATTTTTCCATCGTGTTATAGTTAAAGATTTGCACCACTGTCCCATTTAGATATAATTGTTATTGTTAGATATTTCCAATTTAAAGACCTCCCCAAGTGAGGGGCGTTTTTCAGCATTTACTAACATTTGAGTGAGTTAATAATTTAGCAATTTATTACAATTGCTGTATCAAAACAGACAGAAATGATATCCTGCAGCCTTCAAACCTTATGATTTTCAGTAAATTACCAGTGAAGGCAATGCATTTCCATTTCTCACACTCCAGGGTGCATGTCAATAGACGGAGAGCCATGGAAGACATAAAGGAGGCTGGTAGGGGGTGGGACAGGTTCCTAACAAACTGAGAGGGCAGAGACGAGTGGGCTGGGTCAACAGGAAAGCAAATTGTTACCCTGTATACAAACCGGAAGACGTTTCTGTGCTGATAGCGAAACAAACAACCAGAAGATATCATTCTAATTAGAAATGCTATTTACATTTGAGCATCAGTTGGGGAGGAGCACTCCTCAGAGGGGGGAGGAGGGCTGGAGAAATGCAGAGACAAAACAAACACTCCTGCCAAAAATGTGTCGGATCCGTCACAGATTTATCCAAATAAAGGAGGTCTTTTTGTTCGTCTCTGGAGAGTATTCCTCCCTGGAGTGTCTGAAATCGTGGAGATTTTTCTCCTGGGTGTTGGGAACTGAGCCCATGTTTTTTCAGGTGAACGTTTCCCCGCTCTAGACATCAGAGAGAGGTAGATACACAGAGAGGACGAGAAACACCTGCAGCAGGAGGCTACCTTCTTACTTTATATTTAACTGTACACAGGAACCACGAAATAAATAAAAGGGGACTTGTTGAGTGCGATTATATTGGAGGTTCTTCAAGGTCAAAGAACGTTGCGACGAGTCTTTCAAGAATGAATTAGTCTTTGGGTTATTTTTCTTTACCGTCAGCTAATTTCTCCCTTATTTCACGATTCACCAGAAGACAAAAAACAAAGAAATGAGCTCGGAGCAGCCTCGATCGGTTACAGCGAGTGTGACATCCTGGAGGTTGTGATGATAGATGTTTCCCAGACTGCCTTTCAGTTCCCCCCAAAAGACCCACTGCTTCATAAAGGGTTCCGATTACGACGAGTGAATTCATTTTAATTATCCCATTCCTACTTTGCAATACTTGGAACATTTTGGGACACTAAAGGACGCAGACGGACAGGAAGGCAGACGGAGACAGA